TGCCCTAATCCTCTGATGGAATCTGAATTCTCTGTACCTAACCAGGAAGAAGACCTTGGAGTCATACTGGAGAACCCAATGAAGATGTTGACTCAGTGTATGGCAACTATAAGAAAGAAAATGATATGCTAGGAATAATTAGAAAAAAAATGAAAATAAACTGTAATGTCATTAAACAAATGAATATCTAGAAAACCATATATAATTCAAGTTTGACAATTCTGGAGAAGGACCAATAAACTGGAACAGTTCATAAAGTTCTATAAATTATTATCTCTTTTGAATAGAAATATATATTTGTTTTAGATACATTTTTTTTAAAAAATAAAAAAGTTCAATAGTTAACCAAAATGACCAGAAGGCTCAAACACTTTCCTTATAAGAAAAAGCTAGAACATTTGGAACTTTTCAACTTGTAAAAACAGAGCTGAGGGGGGGACATGGTCAAAGTTTATATCAGGAATGGCCTTAAGAAAGCTTATTGGAAAAACAGAGAAAAGAAAGTACTTCTACATAGATCTCATAATTAACCTTGCCATTCATTATGACAAGACATGCTAATGACTATTAGCCTGGATGCATTAAAACCGGATTGGATAAATTTATAGAGGACATATCTCTGCAGTTATTGGTCTTGAAGACCAATTATTTCTGAGTTGAAGGGATAATATGCTTTCAAGTTAATTGCAGGGCAACACTGGCAGGAGAGGGACATGTCACTAATTCTGTGAGCATCCCCAGGAGCATATGATTGGCTACTATGAGAAACAAAGGTGGGACTAAGCTGGGAGTTGAGCTGATCCAGCATGGCTACGTTCTTATGATCAGACCTAAAGGCATCATGATGGTTCTCCCATTTCTTACATACTTTCAGCTAGCAGAAATATTATTGGGATGCTAATCAAAAAAAGAGGACCTGACATGCCAGTGTCTTAATTGTGCAATGCTTAACATCATGCAACTATGGTCAGAGATGATTTAATTTATGAACTGTCTCTGAAGTACTTTAGATATCATATTCCCTGGAAGTTGTAGCTTGAATAGATCATATTTATTCATTTTAATTTGATACTTTAAAGCTTTGTACCCAGATTTCTTATAAAAAGGCATTTTATTAGTTTATATTATTATACTAAGCGCTGACTAGAAATGATGTTCTAAGTACATTCTACACCAAAGATAATAGCACTTGAAATATGTTAGGCATTCTATTTGCATAGATAAGCGTTCTTACCTGAAATGCTTGTCCTATCCTTGAACTTCACCAACCGTATTAGTTTCTCTAGCCTCCTTCAGGTGTTCAGTAATTGTAAATATGGTCAATGCTGGTGTGGGCAGCATATACATCACCTTGGTTTCTTTACTCCCATCCTTCCCCTGTTGATAGTGAAGATCTGACAAGTGGGCTTAAAATCATGAAGATAGGGAACTCTGGTTGTGCAAGCAAGAAAACAAGCATACACAAGGGGTGTTCCCATTCTCCAATGATTAGATAAACAGATTCAGAAGGGTCATGTCCATTATTCTTTTGAGAAAAGTCTCTGCTGAAGAAAAATCAGTCTGACACCAGTACATGGTGCTATATGACCTTCCCTCACTTAAATGTTTGGTGTAGGTGGAAAATAAAAGTTTTTGTTTTGTGTGAAAGTATAATGGATTCTTGCTGAAGCAAGAAAAGCAATGTCTAGGACAGAGATCCCCAACCTTTTCGGCACCAGGGACTGGTTCCGTGGAGAGAGGTTTTTCCATGGACCAGAGAGTGCATGGTTTTGTGTGCTGCCTGCATCTCGCGGATGGGGCTTTGCTTGTTTGTGTGGACCGGTTGCTGGCATGCTGCAGCCCGGTACAGGTCCAGGGACCAGGGGTTGGGGACCCCTGGTCCAGGACTTGTATCAGAATTTAGATTGTGCTTATGCATGTGTGTATGTTGGGAGAGAAGCTATTAAAATTGTGAAGGTGCCATTATTCCCAACAGAGATTACTAAGAGAAAAAACTTAGCATTTCAGGAGGAATATTCAAACTGTTTTTTCATAATGACTAAAAAAGAGGACTTCTGTTTTCTAGTTTAGAGAATTCACCCTATAAATTATTTAGGTTACCTATCCACTTGAAATGTGCAGATATTACCAGTTTGTGTCTTTCACGTCCTCATTCATCTAGCTATTTGCTACTGAGTGTAAGACAATAGTGCCATAGAACTGTAGCATTCGATCTTCAATTATATTTTTAAAATTTCTTTTTTAAAAGTATGGATACAAATTTGGTTGTCTCTGCAAAACCATGATTGGTTGTCTATGGGCAAATAACATATTATATGTTATGCAATTGTATTTTTGTGAATTTGGCAACCAGGAATTCATGTAGGGTTCATCCTAATCTGAACTAGAATTTCTGCTGACCTTCCCCAGAGAAGCAATTTTTAATTCAGAGTCTGGCATACTTAGAAGTGGTCAGTCAGGAACAGAATTCAAATGTAACAAGCCAGGACTCAAATGCAGCATGTTAAGCTAGATTTTCCATGATGTGGCTTATTGTTATAAACAATTTGACCATTTTTCAAAAATTCATTTGCTATTAATACCCTTAACTCTCATCTCTATTTCTTTCCCTTTGAATTTTGATTACCTTGTTTTTGTTTTTCTTCATTTCACTATCTCTGATTCTTGATATCTGTTAGTTTCCCTATCTTTTTTCTTATTTCAGTTACTATTTTCCACTCATCTTCTTTACTTACTATCATGGCAGCAACAGGTTCTATTCTGTAACATTTTTACAACTGCAAAGGAGTTGTAAATGTAGCTAGTGAGTGTATTTATTTATTTAAAGCATTTATATAACTGCCCATTTTTTAACCAACTCTGGGTGGCTCCCAGTCAAAAGTTGAAACAGCATAAAAACACGGTAAAATTATAAAACTAACACATTAAAAACAACAAAAACCTGATGTCAGGTCAAACTTCTGATGTGCAGTCATAATCTTATCTAATGCTTGGGAGAAAAGCCAGATTTTCAGAATTTTTATGGAAGACTAGAAGAATAATGTTGGAAAAGATTCTTGAGAGTTCATTGGATTGCAAGGAGATAAAATCAGTTAATCCTAAGTAAATCAACCCTGATTGTTCTTTGGAAGGACAGATACTGAAGCTCAAAACCTTTGCCCATCAAAACAGAAGAGAGGACTCATTAGAAAAGACTCGAATGTGGGGAAAGATTGAAAGAAAAAAGGAGAAAGGGCCAGCAGAGGATGAGATGATTAGATAGTGTCATTGACACAATGAACTTGAATTTGTGCAAACTCCAGCAGACAGTGGAGGACAGGGAGGACAGATTGCCATGCTCCATGGGGTTGCAAAGAGTTGGACATGACTTAGTGACTGAACAACAAGGAGGGTGAAACCTGCTGAACTTCACAGGGCAGAATATTCCATAGGCAGGGCTGCCACAGAAAAGACACGCTTCCTAGCCCCCATCAGATACTAATATTTAGAGGAAAGAACTAGTAGCCTGCACATCCTATTCGATGGTAGGATGGGTAGATGTCCTTTGGGAAAGGCAGTCCCATAGACAACCTGGCCTGGTGTTATTTGGGCTTTAAAGGTGATGAGTAGCACCTTGAATAGCACCTGGAAAGAACTTGAAAGTTTTTCTGTGCTGGAGAAACAGTTAAAAACTCCAATTGCTTTTAATGAACTTAGGACAGTATTCCGAATTTCAGAATGAATAATATGTGTGAATTGCATATGTGAATCAGTTAGATCAGTGGTTCTCAACCTTTCTAATGCCGTGACCCCATAATACAGTTTCCCATGTTGTGGTGACCCCCAACCACTTATACATCGCCGGGTGCCAGGGGTGGAGCCGAGTGGGTGGGCCACCAAGTGGGTGTGGCCACCAAGTGGGCATGGCCATCAAGTGGGCATGGCAAGAAAGACAGCCCCGGCCACCATTAATGCTGTGCCACCGCTGCATGTATTTTAATACATGTTTACCCTGCCTTTAAATGTGGGACCAAAATTTACAGAAAGTTAGTAAATAATAAATAAGAACAGGCTGCTTTCATTTGAACCATAGATTATAGTGGGGACCTGGAGGGATTTTATTTCATTGAAGATGAAAGAAAATATATGAAAGAAAGGGAATAAAAAGCAAAGCAGAAAGGAATAAGAAGAGTGAGAAATGGCATGGAGGTTATAGGTTTCGTGGATCAGAAATAAACAAAACAAATCAGTTTTAAGAGAATAAATGGCAACAAATGGAAGATTCAAACTAGTTTTAAGGGAATAAAAGGAAATAAATGGAAGTATTAAACCACTTTAAACAATAAATGGAAGAATCAAAGTAGTTTATAAGCAGTTTATGAAGGGGAGGGATGGAGATGGAGATGGAAGGAAGGAAGAAAGGGAGGAAGATTGAAGGGGAAAGGAAGGAGATGGAGAAGGAAGGAGATTGAAGGGGGAAGGAAAGAAGGAAGGAGAGAGAGATTGAAGGGGAAGGGATGGAGATGGAAGGAAGATGGAAGGGGAAAGGAAGGAGATGGAGAAGGAAGGAGATTGAAGGGGGAAGGAAGGAGATGGAGAAGGAAGGAGATTGAAGGGGGAAGGAAGGAAGGAAGGAAGGAAGGAAGGAAGGAAGGAAGGAGAGATTGAAGGGGGGAGGTGCTGCCAAGGACGCACAAGCAGCTCCGCACAATTGCCCAGGGAGGGGGGGAGGCTCTGGCGGAGAGCCAAGCAGCGGCACATCCGGGGCCTTGGAAGCTGTGTGGAGGATCCACGCGCCTCGGAACTGCCGGCTGCCCTCTCACACCCGCACGGGGACCTGGAGCAAGATGACCTGCCGGTTCTCCGAGGGGTGGCATTTGTTGATGTGGCGGGTGTTGCCGGGTAGTATTTGCAGGGGAAGGCCTGAGCAGCATGGAGCACGTGCAGGTGATGCTCCTGACTGCTCTTACTGGGGAAGGTCTCCCCGCACACTGGGCAGTGGTGGCATTCCCTGGACAAGCTCAGCAGGCTTTGGCCGTCCGGCGTCGCCTCTTCCAGACAGGCCTCAGGAAGCAGGCGAGCCTGGGACAAGCCGTCAAGGGGCTCGTGGTGGAGCAGCAGGTGCTTACGCAGGGTGCTTTGGCATCGGAAGCGCTTGGCGCAATGCGGGCAGGTGAATTCCTCGGCTCTGGTGGCCTCCGGTTCTCCGCTGCTACCACCCCCACCACTCCCGGGATTTGGCATATCCCGCTCGCTGCTGCTACTACTGTTGCCGCCGCCATCCCCTCCCTTGGCAGTCTCCTCTGGAACAGGCTTGGCCTTGGTCGGCGCACCGGCGACATACTCACCTCGTCCTTGAAGTGCAACTTGCGGGCTGCCTTGGTCTTTCTGCCCTGAGACCACTTCGGTGTGCCTGGGCTCGGCCCATGGCTGTGCTGGGGGGCAAGCAGCGGGCCAGAAGTGATGGCGGCGGCGGTGGCGGCGACTTCCCAAAGCTTGAGGTCTCCTCCAGGGCCCAAGAGTAATGGTTCCAGCGCCGAGACGGGCGAGGCCAGGTGGAGGCTACGTTCCTTGCTCACCGCTCGCACTGGACTGTGCAGCGGCACCGGTGAAGAGGGGCCCTCCGCTTTGGCGGATTCCGAGGCAGAAGCCGTGCTGGGGAAGTGAGGGGCCGGAAAAGGTGGAGGAACCAAGAGCTGCACCGGATCGCCTCCTTCCAGCCCAGCGGCCGGGTAGCAGGAGCAATGCATCCGGTAAGAGATGGGCGTAGGTCTGCGACTCCTCTTCACCAAAAAGTCCCGGGGCATCCTTGGGCAGCTCCGGAAGGTGTCTGCGGCTGGTGATGCTGCTGCCTCAGTCTCTGAGCAGCAAGCGCGGTTCTAGCACCCAGCTGGTCCTTCTTCGACCACCCCGCCTTCCCTCTGTCAGCCGAGCCAAGCGGGAGAAACAGAAGTGGTAGTGGAGGAGGAGGCCTCTCTTGCTTTCTGCTGCTTGTTCTCTCTCGCTTTCTGCCACGTGCTCTGAAACCGAAACTTCCTTAGTTTATATAGAAAAAAGCTGCATATGCGCAAAGAGGAGGGAGGCAGGAACGGCTCTGCGTGCCACCTGTGGCACTTTCGAAAGCCAATAAGAGGGAGTAGCACAGCTAAGGAAAAGGGGGAAAAAATGGCGGACTGCGTTGTTGGCGACCCCCGTGAAATGTTCGTTCGACCCCAAATGGGGTCGCGACCCACAGGTTGAGAACCGCTGAGTTAGATTATAAGTTTTATGAAATATAAGCTTAGTCTAGTTTACTAACATGAATCCATACACTTAATTTTGCTAGGGATTGTTATGAAATCTGAAATCAATAATTAAATACAGTATGGCAAAGCAACTTTAGAGGCCCATCTAATTGGAAGTTTAGTGGTGTGTTATATTCTGCACACACCAGTACATGGTTGGTAACATTTTACTCTCAAAATTCATGAATGCATAAGACAGGTACTGCCTCTGTAAATCTGCCAGCTGCTTCTTCTGCCTCAGGACAGTGTGCTCTTGAGGATGAGCTCAGACAAATGCAATCATATACTTACCATATTGGGCCTCCTGGTCCCAAGGATCTTGGGATTTGTATCAAGCTTGGGGCAGATTGGGACTCAGGCCCAGAAGCAAACTGGTGTAAACATAGATGTAAAATACTGTTGACCAAAGATTGACATTTGATATTATTGGTTATATCCAGGCTCTAAGAATATAAACCATTGGTGAAGTAAGAGTGATCATGATGAAGATTTTAATTCTGAAAAGATGACTCGAAATTTTAAGCTGTTTTAATTCTTGGAATATTTGAACTCCGTGAAGAAAGAGGTTACTTTCAATCGGAATGTATCCCCTTATTTTTGCAAGCATTCAAAAGATTTTCTTTTCAAAAGGCAACTGGACTTTTAATTCCCTTTTGAAAAAAAACACCTTTAGGGCAACCATGACCTGGATGATTGACAATCTCCATAGGCATTCATTGGGATATGTTGAATAGCAAATCCATGCTCTGCGTTCTGAGAATGAATCTACTTGTTCATTAACCATAATTTAAAATCTGTGATTTAATAATTTGAAGAATAGTTTTATTCTCTCTTTATTGATATAAATGGATTTTCTCTCTCATACTGCATTTGGAAGTTCAGTTAATTTAAACCTTTACCTGTAGAAGGAAAGACAGGACAGAAAAGTCTTTACAAAAATATAGCTTGATATTGTTCCAGTGCTTTGTTTTGGTGAAGTTACTTCTAATTCCTTATGTCTTGGGAAAAAACCCGTCATGTTATTTACAACTTTCTGCTTTTAATTTAGGAACCATTGTGAGTTTTGATTCTTGACATATGATATATTGCACTTGATTTTATAATTATCATATGTTCTATTTTTATGAGAATTATTTTTAATACAAGTTTCCCAGAGTTATTTATGTCATGGGGTGATATAGAAATGGTTTGTTAATTCATCAGTAACAATGAGTTATTTCTACATAAATAGATGAGATACATGCTTAAATATTAATTTTATTTCTCAATTGCCAGATGTGTGTGGAAAAATCAAACTGGGTGCTGATCAGCAGTAGAGGGACAAATGGGAGAACCCAGCTAAAGCCTCTCTCACCACATGCATAAACTTAGCTCCCTACTTGTGGGACAGACCCACATTCAGATTTTTAAAAAGGAGCACATTGATGGGATACAAAATAGGCTAGCCCCACATAATTTGGAGAGAGTGCTTCTCTTGAAAAGGAGATCTCTTTGGGAACTTTATTAGAGAAATATATCTTTAACCATTGAAGGGGTAGCTTTAATTTGATGGGTGTAATATGAGAAGAGGAGGCTATCTTAATTCTAAAACAGGAGTGTCAAACTTGATTTCATTGAGGGCCGCATCAGCATTGTGGTTGCCCTCAGGGGGCTGGGTGGGCATGGCCAGGGTAGTCGCAGCTGATTGGGTGGTCGTGGCCAGCTTGACATCACTCACACCGGGGAGCATCTGTTGGGGCACCAGACACCATCAGCCCCCATGTACTTGCTGCCTCCTGTGTGTGCATCAGGGGGTGCCTGGTCGGACTGGGTCAGGATGGTAGGGGCCGGTTCCTCACCATGTCTGGGGCAGCCCTGCAGGCCAAATCTGAGCCCATCACAAGCCACATCAAGCCTGCAGGCTTTGTGTTTGACATGTCTGTTCTAAAGGATGGGACATAAAGGATGGAGACTCCTAGTGGTGTGACTTCCACTGTGGGGTGGGGCTTGTGTACTGTGGTCAACTGGGAGACTTTGAGGAGGACATTATCCTTTCTCCACCCTTTTTAGAAAGAAATTAAAGGATGTATATAGAAAAGAGGAGCTTCACATCTATGAGGGAGGGGAGGGATGGTAAAACATATGTCACACCCTTACCCAGCAGCATAAGATGGATTGGAGATGAGTGAGATGAGTGAGAAAGTATGAGAGAACCTAAGATTCATTTATAAAAGATCAGTGATGTTTATCATAGAACATCTAGAAAGACTGAGATTTCTACAGCAGCTGCTCATGGCATTTCTCCTCCTTGTTCTTTCTTTTTGAGGGTGCAGAGGGCTGTTTTGGGAGAGAAATGCCCTTGTTCTTCATTTTGCTGACAGAAACCATTCCATCAGCAAGAGGGGTTAATTGGATACAACTCTCTGGTGGCAGCAAGTTCCATTAGTCAACTGTGTATGCTTTGTAGGAAAATAAGCTCAGCCCACTGCATGTTAATTTCTTTAAGTGGTCTTGCAATTGTGAAAGTCCCTCTTGTTTTTATCTCCCTCTTTAGTGTGTTAAATCAGTTTGTCAGTATGCATCTTCCTCACTTCATTGTAAAGCCTGAGCATTTAAGTAGAATGTTCTTTGTTGATTCTGAAACATTTCAATTTTCAGTCAGCTTGAATGAATAAATGAATGACCCTGACCAGGATCATAGTCTGATTCTGTCATGTAGCAGCAGCTAAAAACCTGATTTAAAGAATTTGTTTGCTGGTCCCATGTAAGAGATTCCTAATACAAGAGGCAGGATGCAGAGAAAAAGGCTTCTTAAAAACACTTTCCATGCTGTTGTTATTTATTCAAGTGTGTGTATATATATATACACATATATATATTCTAGATGAGGCTGTTTGTCTTATAGAAATAAAAAGATGTTTTCTTTTTGTGCTTGCAAAATACATTCTATTGTAACTCTGATAAAGCATAAAGTATGCTAATGTGAAGTCAAGCGGCTGCCTGTTCGTTTCTCTTTATGTTTGCTAGTCGGTTAGCAACTTTTTCTATCTTGTTTTCCTTGAGACTGTTCAAATGGTTCAAACATTTCCTAAAAATTAGTTGATGAGCCTGTTAGGGGTACATTTCCAAGACTAGTTCATTTCACAGGAAAAGAGAAGATGGAGGTAATTTTGTTTGCAAGAAATGCATGATTGGAAGCTGACTGTTGAAAGAAATGCTATGTCAATGTAATGAGGGAGTGTAATATCTTCGTTTGCATCAATATGGAAATAATGCCGCAGTTTGACAGACCTGATGCTAAAGGCAATGCCAGAATGCTCATTACACATTCAGGTTCTGATTATGAAAAATAGTGTGCTTTCTTTAAAGAGGAATACACATTATCAATCAAGCCACACAAATTATTTTCAGAAGAGATCACAACTAAACAAGGACATGGACTCTTCAAGTAAAACTGCACCTGACAAAAAGAAAAAGAAAAGGCACATTTCAGTGTACATGTTTAATAGCATGACAGCTGAAGCCATTCATCATTACAAACGTTCTTTTTGATTAGGCACTATGCACAACTCTTCCCATTAGCAAGATACCAAGCAAAGACTCATTTTTTTTTCTCCTGAAACATCTCATCATGACTTAAGGCAGGTCATGATCTGAGAGAGAAGATGTTGGCTTTTAACAAACCTTACCATTATTCAAACAGAAAACATGCACTCAAGGGGAATGCTTTGTTATAATTTGGGGAGGATTAATTGAACTTGTTTAGGGAGAAAGTATATGATTATGTATTAATTGATGTAAAGACTTTAATTTTTCATTTTGTCTGCTAACATTAGCCTGACCTATTGCACACATTCATGCTTCAGCTTTGTGCAGAAGTCATGTACATTTTCCCAAGACCATGTCATTTCTTTGGCATGTAATTTGGAACTCTTCATTTTCTAGCAATTTGCCTTGTGCATAAGACTCTTGCACATTTGGATGTACATGAATGTAGCTTATGCCAGTGAGTCTTGATGTTTGGAGGACCAAATCTAGGAGATCTACATGTTACACAAAAGGATATAATTATGAACACCCCCATACATTTGTCTGCACATGAATAAATGTATTTGCATATATATGTCTCTGTGTGTAAGTATTTTATAGACAAAGGTGGGTTTTTTTGTAGTATAATTTTGGGAAAGGAAAGGGAATTGTTGCTGTCCAGCAGCAGCTCCACCAGCTATTGGATATTTTAAGTATAGAGGGGTACCTTCACAGTCCCTTTTTAAATCAAATTAATAGGAGACCTGATTGACTTTTCTGTAATTGGGACCAGCCAGTACATTTTTGAATCTGCTTAAGAGATTTCATCCTGGTGAAGTTCAGTAGGAGTAGTATACACAGTTAAGTTTAGGAAGCTGAGCACAGGCTTTTAGGGAACTGAGCTACTAGCAGCTGTTAGCAGACAAGAAGGAAAGCTTTGTTTTTAAAGCCCAGTGTTTGCTGATGAATGAATTGCAAAGAAGATCGCCTCCGCCAATTTAATATTTTACTTTAATCATTAAGTTCACCAGAAGCTGATGTGAACTTTCTCGCCCCTTTGTATTCCTTGTGACTGTAACCATGGAGTCACTCTCTATAGTGTTCTGTAAGCAAGTTATT